GAAGAAGTGGGTATTCACCCACGAAAGCTCATGCTCCTATACGTCTGTTAGTCTAAAAGGTGCCACAGGACTCTTTGCTGCTTTTACAGATCCAGACTAACACGGCTACCCCTTTGATACTTGACACTTCTTTTATGTTCACATACACACACACCTGTTCCTAAGGGTTTGTCTATACATAGAGTTAGTACATGGCAAGCTGGGGTGTAAATCTATAGTGCACTAACTGACCCCATGGACCCTTCTACCGCACACTAAAAGATCTGTAGCATACAACCCTGCCAGAACAAGAGATGCAAAACCTGCAGACATATTTCCACTGCTACAATGATCATCCCAAACACACCTCTCAAGATCCATGGACCCTACACATGCCTATCACAACTTGTGGTGTACCTCATCCAGTGCACTAAATGCCCCAACTACTATGGGGGTGAAACAAGACAATCACTACGCTCTCGAATGAACTCACACAAGAAAATGATAAAAGACAAGAACACCCTATCATCTGTGGGTGAACGCTTTTCACAAAACGATCACTCTATATCTGACCTATCAGTCCGCATCCTGAAAGGAAACCTGCATTGCAGTTTCAAAAGAAGAGCCTGAGAGCTTAAATTCATTACTCTGCTAGACACTAAAAATCATGGACTAAACAGTGACACTGGATTTATGACTTATTACAACTATCTGTAACCCACTAACCCCCTCTTTTTGTCCTATGACTGCAGAGGCGTTAACAGGCCATTCTACCTTGAGTGGTCCCTTATAATATGTGCTAATTACTTATGCTAAACAATCTGTTCCACCTTTCCTAGACCTGAAGAAGACCTCTGTAAGTTTGTCTACACAGGAAACAGACACCAGCAGCTGAGCAGTGCCAGGCGACTCTGGGTTGCGGGCAGGGGCGGCGAGTTGTATGGGCCCGTGCTCCATCAATATGAGATCACGGGGCCCGGCTCTCAAAGTTCGGAGCCGGGCCTCTCCCCTGGCCCTGCCTGCCACCCCCAAGCAATGTAAAAGGGCCCAGGACCCCCGCTGCCACCACTGGCAGATGGCATATCCCTGCGGCCCGTGGGGGCGGGGGGAGAAGAAGGTGTCTCTGCGCGCTGCCCCCACCCCAAGCTACAGCCAAATGGGAGCTGCAGGGGTGGTGCCTGTGGGCAGCGGTGTGTGGAGACCTCTCTGACCCTCTGCCTAGGAGCTGCTGCGAGAGGGGTGTGCATGTTGCTTTCGGGAGCCGCCCAAGGTAAGTGCTGCACCTCTCATCCTCTCCCGCCCCCCCAATCTCCTGCCCCCAAAATCCCTCCCAGAGCCTGCCCCCTATACTCACTCCTGCACCCTAACCCCTGCCCCAGCCCAGATCCCGCAACCAAACTCCATCCCAGAGCCCACCCCCGTAAAGGACCCTGCCAACCATTTAAAAATAAATATATAAAAAGTGATTCCACACTGATTTATTCATTGCTATACTGCAGTTTTATCATGTTTTGAAACGTATGTTAAATTTTGATTCTGCAACAAAAAAGGAGTTCTGTAGGTAAAGCACTGGAAGGCTCAAGCTCCTAGGGAGACCCTTCTGAGAGTTCTGCTATTTAAAACCAAACATCCTGCTAATTTGTAGAGGCTGCTGCCACCCAGTGGAGGAAAAAAGCTTTATAAGCAAAACAAGACACAGAGGAATTATTATTTTGGCCACAAAGACATTCTGATTTTAAAATCGCTTGAAAATATATCTTTAAATGTTTTCTTTTCTTTCCCTATTTATGAAAATCCCTTAGAAAATAAAATCTATTCCTACCCAATATTTTCTCTAAAGTGCACAGACATTCAACTTGTCATTGTAAGGCTGACAGTAAAGGTTGGGTGACTGACATTCATTTTAACTCTCCAAAAAGAATCTTGGAAAAAATGACATGGACTTTGTGAAGTTTTAATTTGTGATGTCTGTTTTAGTACAGGAGCCCCCCCCCAAAAGTTGGACTTTCTGGAGAAATTTCAAGAAATGTTCACTTTTAAATGTTTCCTCTGGAAAAAAAGTTAGCAAATTTTTGACCAAATCAATAACAGAGTTATGTTATGTTAAAATTTGGAGAGTAAATTCAAATACAGAAAATCAAATGAAGGGATTTGAATCCTGTTTTCCATGTAAATCTCAACGCAACCTTAACTACGGAACCACCAGAGTAACTCAATAATTATCATTTGGTCACCTAAATTACACTAGAACACAGACACGCCCTTCTATCACTCCCCCCAAAAAATCTAGAGATTTTGGTGAGACAGACAAACAAGTTATTAAAAGCCTACTGTGTCCAAAATAATTATATCATTAGTCCCTTTCAGAGGGTTTTTCCAAATGTGACTGCAAGATTTTGCTTGTTTCAATATAATGCTATTCTTTTCTTCACACAAATCAAGAATTAAATTAAAAATAAAAATGAAAAAATGTTTATAGAGAAGGACTGATGCTTCCTTTAGTAACATTTACCTTTGACATCTGGCTAAAATCTGCAAAACCCTCATTGCTACTGAAGGCACCACTTCCAAACGGGTCTAACGTTCCAAAAGGATCTGAAACAAGTATAGAACAAAGCTATATGGTTTTTGTTTTGTTTAATATAATACCTAGACAGAGGAAAAATCTACTGTCACTAAAGTAGATCACCAGACAAATTAAAAAAGGAGACCAACATTAAAAAGCCCTCTTAATACTAGTGCCAATGGCACAAATTATTTAATAAATTCACAGGAAAGTCATGTTTTCCTCTTTATGACGCAGTCAAAATCATGAAAAAGTCTCTTTAAATATGAGCTGACACCTACAACATGGTTTCATAAAACATTTGCTATAAAATACTATCAAGTCAGCAATCATGACTTCAGTGAACTAAAAGAATGATAAAATTTTTTCCCTTGGGTGAAAAATTTGGCAGTAACAAGACATGAACTGTTACCAAGAGGGAAAGATATAAGGAGAGAAGCTCAATTAGTTGAACTTCCATCTGTTCACTCCATTCAAGCTCTCTTTTGTAGGCCACAGTTTCTTTTTAATGATGTTCATTCAGACTTGTCTGTTACTTAAAGGCTTGTTTACATGGAGAACCCAGGAAAATTAATCTGAATTAACAGAAGGTATGAATTTGAAGCTGAATTTAAACCACATTAAACCTCTGTGTGAACACCCTCATTCAGAATTAAAGTGGCCTTAATTTGGTTTAGTTAAGATAAATCAAATTCAGACTCCTTTAATTCTGAAAGATGGTGTTCACACAGGGGTTTAAATAATCCACTTTAAAGTCACACCTTTAATTAATTTGGATTAATTTTCCTGGGTTTCCTCATGTAGACAAGCCCAAGACTACTCAGACCACATTCCAACTCTCTCAAACATTCCTTTCTCAAGCATTGTTTTTCCAAAGGACAGAAAATAGTATCTCTAAATTCCTGTTTATTTCTAGTATCCTAGTTTTTAAATTCTGTTCCTCAATTGAGTCCATAACCAATATGAACAATTTATCAACTTCAGCAAACTCTTCCATGATCTTGAAAACTTCTATAAGTCACCCTGAAGTCATTTTTACCCATGAGAATCAGTCATGCTCAAATGACACACGTTCTTAATGAAGGTAGACCCAGACTGTCACATCCAGAGGAGAAGGGGAGAAAAAGGGGTAGCACATGAAAATTCTCCCCTCATGGAGGATTTTTCCATATTCTGCCACTGGGTGAGGTGTGTGGTTTTCCTACCTGAGAAGGTCCACGTAGTTTGGTCCTCAGAAGCTATGGATGTTGAGAGAGCTGCTAGAAGGACAGAGCCGTCTGCATCCAGACCCTCTGCACTAGCTGTATATCTCCCGGCTCCCCGGCAGCATGTTTCCACTGGAGTCACATTGCCAGGGACTGCCCTGCCCATAGGCTGCCCTTGGAATTCCCCACTTAAAGAGGAATTCCCCAAAAGAGTTAATGTTGCCTCAGGTTGGATTAATTTATCTCCTGTTTCTTCACTGCTTGCTTAGAAGAAAGGTTAGGAGCAATGCATAGCGCATGTGTGGAGGATCCCTCGATAGTCTGTAATAAGTACACTGTGATGATGTATCCCATAGAATTGCAGTCTGATTTTGCTATTCCGAGGCTTGAGGGTGAACTCTGTACGATTTCCAGTGCTGGTGCTAACCCATTGGGGGGTTCTAAGCAGGAATATTTTTGGGGGCCCCCCACAACACATACTAATAATTAATAGGGGGCCCCTTGAGCTGCTCAGGGCCCTAAGCAATTGCTTGGTCTGCTTATGCTTACGCACTGGCTCTAGCAATCTCCAAATTTTAACTGATATACTTGTGTTTCAAAAAGGCAGCAGAATTTACCTGTGCAGAAATGAAGAAAATGCTTCCCTCTTACCTGGGCCTTTTGAAGAGATACTTGAAGATGTGAAAGGATCGCTACTTTCAAAGGGGTCAGGCTAAATGAGGAGGAAAGAAGAAATGCCACGTTAATAAATTTTAATGTATTCTGCACTTACCTTTCTGTGTATACCAAAATCTTCAATACATTATGAAAACTGCTATTCTAGACCAAATTAATCTCTAGTACAGTGGTTCTCAATTTTTTTTTTCCCCGCGGACCACTTGAAAATTGCTGAATGTCTCAGCGGACCACTTAACGATCTTTCCAAATGTTGTTTGTACCATTAGCTAACTATTGTAAAGCGCTTTGGATAAAAGGGCTATATAAAAAAATCCTTAATAATAAAGGTTTTTTTGTTCTACAAATAAAAGCACACAACTCATATTAAAATATCAGTAGTCTTACCTTTCTAATGCGATGGATGTGCCCTCTTTCCCCCACCACGGCAGCCCCCGATCTGGGGCTGTGAAGGAGGGGGGTCTCTCCCCCATCACAGCAGCCACAGAGCTGAGGCTGGGAAGGAGGGCCATCTCTCCCTGGCAGTCACAGCCCTGGAGCTAAGGAAAGTCGCCTCTTTCTCTGGCTGCTGCAGCCCTGCATGTCCCAAATTCCCCCCAGCCCCTCTTCTCACCCCAATGTTCCCTCCCACCTACCCCCTATTCCCCCCAGGCCACCACCTCACCTTACATGTGCGTCTTCTCCAGGCACCTAATTAGTGGAGCCACGCCTGCACGGCTCCACTAATTAGGTGGGTGGCCATTCATTCTTTCATGTGCAGCCGCCCAGGCATGCACCTTAGAGGGAACTATCTGCGGACTACCTGAATGGAGCTCGCGGACCACAGTTTGAGAACCTCTGCTCTAGTGTAATTCTAGTACAGTCAATGGACTTTGAATTTGACCAAATATTATGAAATACTCTTGTTGGATAAATACACATTATTAGTGCATGTAGGTCTTGATAGCAATGATACAACGTGGAGTTGCTGACAATAAAGGCAAGTATCCCACTGAGCAGAACACATTCCAGAGCAGGGGATCTCACAGTAAAATAAAGCTGGTACTAGTCTATGATGCAAAGCCCAAGAACATACTTGTACAGAAGTCTGTTGTCAAAATGTTCAGACCTGAGCGCCAAAAGTTGGCATTTAAATAGACCTGGCTTAATTTCAGAGCTGCTGAGTACCCACAACTTCTCATTAAATAAAGAGTAGCTACAGGTACTCATCAGCTCTGAAAATCTGGCCACTTATTTAGCTGCATATCTTTAGGCACTGCAGTTTGAAAATGTTGCCCTATGCTTGTAAATAGAAAGGAATTCTCTGAAACACATTTTCACCATAAGGATACCATTACTCTGCTATAAGTAGGGCCCTACCAAATTCACAGCTGTGAAAAACGTGTCACGGACTGTGAAATCTGGTCTTTTGTGTACTTTTACCCTATAATATACAGATTTCACCGGGGAGATCAGAGTTTCTCAAACTGTGGGTCCTGACCCAAAACAGGGTGTGTGTATTGGGGAGAGGGGGGACTGCAAAGCTACTGTAGGGGAGGGGTCATGGTATTGCCACCCTTACTTCTGCGCTGCCTTCAGAGCTGGGTGGCCAGAAAGCGGCGTCTGCTCACCAGGCGCCCAGTTCTGAAGGCAGCACTGCCAGCAGCAGCGCAGAAGTAAGTGTAGCAATGGGAGGCCAGAGAGTGGCAGCTGCTGGCTGAGGGCCCAGCTCTGAAGGCAGCAGCACAGAAGTAAGGGTAGCAATACCATACCATGCCGTCCTTACTTCTGCGCTGCTGCTGTCAGTGGCACTGCCTTCAGAGCTGGGCTCCTGGCCAGCACCTGCTGCTCTCCAGCTCTGAAGGCAGCACCACTGCCAGTTGCAGCACAGTAGTAAGGGTAGAAATACCGCAACCCCCCTACAATAACCTTGCGATGCCCCCACTAACCCCTTTTGGGTCAGGATCCCTACAATTACAACACTATTTCAGATTTAAATATCTGAAATAATGAAATTTATGATTTTAAAAATCCCATGACCGTGAAATTGACCAAAATGGACCATGAATTTGGTGAAGCCTTAGCTATAAGACAAGTACAAAATCTTGACTCTGAACTACTCTTTATTCAAATCCATTATGAATTATGTTACACCAACACAACTTTGCCAAATACCCAAATGATTACCTACCAAGAATACCCATATAAAGTTGGTATTCTATGACTTATGTTGTGCCACTAAGTATGTCAGTTACAGAATGATGGATGTTTGGCAATGCACACTATTTCACATTGATGGTAGTGTGGTACAGGACAAAATTTCCATAAAATGGAGACAAGGCAAAGGGGGTTAATTTAATTTCTAGTATAAGAGCTCATGATGAGCTGCTGTAACAGCTATAAGTCATCAGTTCCAATGGAAATGAGCAGAACTGCTCCTGGACTTGGTAATTCACACCCACTATTCAAGAATGTAATTAGTAACGTGTCACCTATATAAGACTTAAAAAGAATCTCCAGACACCTTTCTCCTGTTTTGCCTTTTAGGCAAGGTACCTGCATAACAGTAGAAAAGTTTATTATAGTGCAACATACACAAATTTAAAAATTACCTACCTTTGAGGGCAGCGTGGGTTTTTTTGTGAATGGATCTGAGGTAAATGGATCATTCTTCACCTGTTTTTTAAAAAAATCCTCAGAGACAGAACTACGAAATGGGTCACTTTCTTTAAATGGATCCCCTCCAAATGGGTCTAGCAAAAGACATAAGGGATGTAAACAAAATGTACTGCTTTACAGGTAAAACACTAGACAATGTGCTATAGGGAACAATCATGCATTAGCAAGGAGTCAGAACAAATATGCCTTTATCTCAAACTTATTTATCAAATAATAAATGATTGATAAATTTTACTCTAAAAAGGAAGAAAACTATTATGATTATTTTAAATTCCAATTAAATGGATGTTTTATGGAGTTTATATTACAGTTATGAACTACATTTAATAAAATTGTATATACTTTAATAAACTTCTTCCTGAGCTCACTCACACGCGCACACATATTCTGGGCTCCCCAGTTTAAACTAAAAAACAAACACACACACTCTCTCTCGGCTCCCCAGTTTAAACTGAAAATCTGAAGTCTTTGAAGTCCAGCTCTATACGAGGCATATCTATATTCGGCTACAAATTATATCCCACCTGTCTCAAAGAAAAAGCTTTTACCTGTTGAAACAGGTGGTTGTTCTGAAAAAGGATCATTCTGGAATGGATCATCTAGGTAAAAAAAAAAAGAAAAATATCTTGTTTTGTCACCTACTTAGAGAATGTCTCCACTGCCCTATAGTTTGGATTAATGGGGTATGAACAGCAGGCACACCAAAGTGCTGCACTGTAACTCCCCTGTGTAGATGCTGAGGGAGCAAACTTAAAAGAGTAAACTCTGGACCTTTAAGTTTGTACCCCGAGCATCCACACAGGGACGTTACAGTGCAGCACTTCAGTGAGCATTGCTCTTCACACCCCTTAGTCCAAACTGCAGGGCACTGTAGACATACACTCAGTTAATAAGATTAGCACAGTTTGTAAAAATACATTTATAGTACAATATGGTCTTCTGGTTCTTATATTAGCCATCAGTTACTTACTGCCTTTGAAAGGGTCTGCTCCTTTAAAAGGATCAGATCTGAATGGATCTTCGGCCTGGAATGGGTCTGTATGCAATTCTTGTGTATTATTACTAAACAATAAAGCTTTATTCTTGAAGGGATCATCCTAGAATTAAGAAGAGAAATATTACAAAGATGTTATCAATATTAAAATGATTAATCATCCAGTTAGAATACTGATGCATCTTATTCCTGTTTAATGTTATTTTAAATTCAAGAAGCTCCTTATTGAAACCAGACGTGCCCTTTAAACTGAAGCAAATGTCATAAATACATTGCTTGAGGCTACACAGATCAATAACTGCATACAGCACACAAAAACGTGTTATTTCTGATTTTTGCATATTAATTTCTGAAATGCCTTCACAAACTTTCTAAAATTCCACACATCTAGATTTTGCAAAAGCCCCAACTCCATGTAAAACATCTTAATTTCCAAGATAAATATCTCTTTCCACAAATCTTTGGCTATTGATTGCTGTCTAGACTATAGTGGAGCAGGAACAATTATAACAAAACTGTTTCGAATAGATCTACCCCAGTCCATTTGACAAGCAAGAACAGGGATGGATTTCCTTCTAAAAACATGCTACCCTAGCTATGCTGGAAACTAACTCTCCTACACAGATGTAATCCATAGCATAGTTTTCAGGTTAACTATGGTTATTGCTAGCACAGTTCAAGCCAATTTTGCTAAACTAAAAAAAAAACAAGCCACAACCACAACACATGAACTGACAAAGTTGTGTCAATTCTTCATCATATGCATTTGTTTGTATGATATATCCTTATACCCTAGTCTTTGCCTATTTTGTGTCTTTTAGACTGTAAACCCTCTGGAGTAGGGATTGTCGCTTATGTTTGTACAGCACTCAGTACAATGGAGCTCCAATCCTCACTGATGCCTTTTGACCATAATAAATGTTTACTAACAACAACAGACAAGGCCTTGGAGTTTACAAAGCTAAAGGATCTCTCCTCAGTATAGAAGACACAAATGAAGAAGTCTAAAATTAAATTTTTCAACCGCAAAAGAAACAAAATACAGAGGAGGCAGGAAGGATTAAGAAACAGAAAAGAAACAAATGCTTTACAAACTTTTCTATATGAACATAGAGTTTTCTTCCAATAAGTGGTTCTCAGTCTTTACCAATAAAAGCAACAATCCAGAGACTTCCACTTGAAATTGAGTTTGACAATAACCATTCAAGCACAAAGACTGAGCAGCAAAGTATTAAAAAACAACAAGTCTGTGAGAACAACACTGTTCTGAGATAATCCCTTTCTTTCGCAAGTGTTTTCCCTTTGTTGCTTGAGCAGAGACAAAGTAATGCAAGGCAGAAAGGTACAGTACTTTCTGAATGCTTATTAGGCCAGTGTACTAAATATACTATATACAATATAGTGGTATTCTATAAGTATTTGCATGTTATTAATGCTATCACATTTCACTTAAATGTTTATTTTGAAATAGATCAAAGTGCTTTGGATACCTAAAAACAGAAACACTATCTAGAAAGCTATTCTACTTTCACTTTTGTATAACCAAGACTTCTAAAATAGCAAAATAAAATCTGATTTCTACAAAAAATAAAAACAAAACCAATAAATATGGAAAAATAAAATTTTCTTGAAACTCCCTGCAAACTGGGTATTTTGTAGACAGTGTTCATAACTTTTTAATTTTACAAAAGATTTTAAATGACAATTATTTAAAAGAGTAAACAATTTCAACCTTCCTCTTATGCTGGGATAAATTGTGGTGAGGTATAATAGCAAATGTAGAACAATGAACTTTGCTCAAACAAGATCCAATCCATCTGCACATCTCTTTGACTTGACTTTTTCCTTAGATAGGCCTCCAAATTATGAATGGGAGCTCCTGGTACAATCAGGCTAACCCTACAGTAAGCATCTTATTTACAGAAGGGTTTGCAAGATAGCTTTCCTTGGAGAGGAGACACGAACAGCATATGGATGGATACAACATGATGACTTAAAGTTGGAGAAATGAACATACAAATTATAAACATTGGTTGTTTATGTAATTTACTAAGGATTAGTATTAGTAATAGCTGCCTAAAGGAAATCAGTTAAGAGAGTTCTTAAGATCCTGAAGGAATATATGGAGGCAAAATACACAGCTAAAATAAATATACTGGATGAGAGAACAGTGATGCTGGGAATATTTTAGAGGAAGACAGACGTCCATATATTATTTTTTGGATAAACTCTTATGGTTTAGGTTGTATTGCTGAAATGTGTAAGTGTACAACTCACATCCTACAGAACAGCAGAAACCGTACATGACTGAAGGACTCCAAGAGAACAGCTGGACGGGAATTTAAAAGAAATTTTTCCCTATTTTGCTCAGCCCAAAAGTCAGACAGACAACACAGACAACACATTACAGTCTGGTCTACATTTAAAACTTTTACCTGCATAACTATGTCACATAGGAGTATGGGGGGGAAAAAATCACAACCATAACCAATAGCTATGCCAGGAAAAGCTCTTGCGTTCATGCAGTTATACTGGCAACAGTTCCTTTGGCCAGTATAGCTTATTTAGTTTGAAGAACTGCTATAAGCTATACCAACAAAAAGACCTTTTTTGCTGGAATAAGTTGCATCTCCAGTAGGAGAGTTTGACAGTACAGCTATACCAGCAAACTATTTCTAGCATAGAGAAGACATAAGAATTAATCGTCACGAGAACTAAAATCTTCTAAGCCTATGGATGGAGGCTGCCATCTTGCAGAGATTACAGTGCCTTTTAAGGTCACACAGTCAACTAAATAAAAATCTTTTTACAATTTGAGTTTAGGTGCAAGTTACAAATCTAATGATTGTAAAATGTATTTTACACTGCATTGAACCATAAATCCACTTGTTACTTTAATTCAGTCTTTACCATAGCTCCAAAATTGCCTCTTTCTTTCTGTGCAATTCCTTCACTTATGTCCGCTAAATTCGTCATGCTACCACCATGAATCCCATTCAGAGCTTCATTATTTTGTTCAATACTTTTACTGATTTCCTGGTGACTCTCTTGAAGTTGAGAAAGTTTACTTCTTGCCTAAATAATGAAAAATATTTCAGTATCATGCAGGATTAGACATACACTCATATGAGCAAGCAACTAGCTACTCTTTGAGAATGAAAACTAGTACTCATTGACAAATCTGAACATTGAATTTACTCTGGAATTTGGTTACTGCAGGGCTCCAGAGATATGGGAGTAATTCTGCGTGAGGTTAAAAACAGTATTGTCCTATTTTTTTTTTTTTTTTTTTTTTTTTTTTTTTTTTTTTTTTTTTTT